GACAAAGCACAGACCGGGCAGGTGTCCTGCTGTAGGTGACAGAGCGCAGGCCCGGGGGTAAAGGCTCGATGGAGCCTCCATGGCGTCTCCCCCTCCCTTGCCGAGCTGCTACGGAGCTGTCCAAAATCAGCTCCCAGAGATGAGCCCTCCCTTGCAGAAGCAGGTGGTGAAGCCTCACTGCCCCTCAAAGGGGCAGCTCTTCCGGGCAGCTCTTCTGGCCCACTTGTGTCTAAGCAGTGTCTTATACTTTTCTGTGCCTTTTTAATAAACCTGTTCTTTAAATATAGCTAATGTCTCTGGTGGAAACACTCGAACACTCGCCACATGCCATTGAAAGGGGAACTCAGGGGAAAGAAAGAACCCCAGGCCCTAAATCCACTAACTCAAAAAAAAAAAAAAAATCAAAGTGACTTGACTAGAGCCGGTGGTCAGTTCCCAGCAGAGAGGGGTTCCTAGCTGGGCACAAGGGATGGTTGTTTCAGTAGCCTTTGAGGGCATCTGGCAAGCAGGCAGGGTGGGGGCAGGCCCTGCAGCGCAGAGGGGACCTCTGGGTTAGCTCCTGCGAGGCTGCCCCAGCCACCAGCTCCCATGGAACGGCCTCCACCCAGGATGGAAGTGGCGAACCCCGGGGGGGACAGGATCACCCACAGCAAGTGTCCGAGCCAGAGTGGGGGCCCCGGGAGGGGCGGGATCACCCACAGCAAATACCCCAGCCAGAGTTGGCCTTGCATGAAAGTCCAGCCCCGGGCAGACCCTCCACCATGGCCCGGGTGTCAGCCCAGCTGGCCCGGGGGCAGCTGTCCAGCCCAGACCCCACGGAGCTGTGACACCAAGCTGGGCGTGCAGAGCAGCTGGGTGAAGAGACCACCAGGGAGGCTGAGGGAGAGCTGGGCATTGTCTTTCTCAACTTGGACTTGGCAGGAAGATTGATGGCCGGCGGCTGGGTTGGGCCTGAGCCCTGAGACTCCCGGGCAGTGTGGAGAGCTAATGAAATGCCTGGAAAAGCATAATACTTTGCTTTGGTCGGCCGGGAGTCTGCAGAGGGAGCTGGGGCGGATGAGCCAGCTGCTGCCCCTTAGGGCCCAGGCTAGCACCTGACCCAGCCTCTCTGCAAGGTCTGAGGCTGGTCCTTGGCGGCCTGAGGGCCTGGGGGAGGAGTCTCTGCTGAGGAGGGAGGTTTGAATGGATCTGGAGGCCTCGCACCCCGGCAGGGCCCACCTCTGAGGGCTGCCGCAGCAGCACTCATGCCAGAGCAGCTATGAGGTGAGGGTGCTCCAGTAGGGGAAGCTCGGGAGTTGTGGGGCCCAGAGGAGGGCCCCTAACCAATTTGGGCAGCAGCCATGACTAGTGGGAGTTAATAAGGTGGGCGGGGACGGGCGGAGAGGGGCTGCCCAGAGTGGGGCTCAGTGCAGGGCACCCAGGGCCTGGCACAGGGTGACGAGGCAGCAGGACGCCAAGTGAGAGGTATGTGGGGGGGGGCGGGCAAAGGGGCTTTCAGTCCTGCGGGAAGCCGCGTGTTATCCTGAGGGCGGGCGGTGGGGCTGGGAGGCTTCAGTGGGATGATCTGAGGGGCTGACGCTGCAGGGGCCTCCCTGGGGCTGGAGGGGGAGCAGGTGGAGGCTCACTGAGAAGTGAGAGGTGGGGCCCCTAAGAGGATGGGGCGAAGCGCAAGCCCTGAGGGGCTCAGTCACTGGGGCTTGGCGAAAGTATGGGAGATGGGGGGAGGCCCAGATGACTTGGGCTTTGGGGGTCACAGTGGGGATGGCAGGGCAGGTGTTTTGGGGGGTGGATGTTGGCCTTGGTGTGGAGGCTGCTGGGGGCGTGAATCCGTGGCGCCTGCCTGCCCTGACCTTGGGGCCCTGACCTTGGGGCCGTGTCCCCGAGGTCGCCTGAAAGGGCTGGACTCCTTAGCGCAGGCTTGTCCAGGTTGGCTCCGCGGCCGGTAGAGAGGAGAATGAAAGGAAGGGGCTGGTGAAGAGGAAGGAGGAACTTGAGTGGGCAGAGGCACACCCCACCATAGCCAGGCCGGGTGGGTGCAGCCTCCCTGCCGAGGCTGGCAGGGGCAGCGTCCCTGTCCACTCTGAGGTGTGTACCTGGGGAAATAGTAGCAATTAACCACCGAGGGTGCCTATGAGCGGACACCAGTTCCTTGGCCCTGACACTGGACTCATTTGCGCGCCACCAGCTGGATCTGACGTGGCACGAGGCCAGAGGGTCAGGCTGTGCAAGGGCGAATTGTTTCTGGTCTAAGAGGACAAGGCTCTGATTTATGGAGGCGTCTGCCCGGTGCCGCGTGGTTCCTGTGGGCCAGGCTCTGTGGAGGGGGGCTCGGAGCAGGCGGAAGGGTGGGGAGGGGGCATTAAGGCACAAGGTGCCAGGGGGCGTGCCAGGGTGCTCTGACGGGCGGGACTGGGGAGGGTGCCCACCTGTCAGGTCCACTCAGAGCGGGCCGGGAGGGGCTGCCTGTAGGCTGTGGCGGAGGCCAGCGGGCCAGCGTGGCCAGCCCAGCGGTGTGGGCTCCCACCTGGAGGTGCAGCAGCTGTGACCTTGAACCACATCCTGGGTCGGGCCCTGCCTCCCACATGTGCAGAACTGAGCTGCCCGAGCCGTCCCTGGGGGCAACCTCGGGCTGCCCCCTGCCGCTGCCGGCTCTAGGGAGGGGGCCAGGGCGCGCCCCAGATCCGTCTCCGTGGAAGATCTCACCACCCAGCCGAGGAGGTGCGGCCCCCACCTCTGCCCCATCCTTCTGGGCTCGGGGCAGGCGGGCCACTGGGCTGGCATGGACCAGTCACAGGGAGCAGCACCGGGCGCACGGGTGTCTCGGAAACCCTGGCAGCGGTAAGACCTGGACTGGAACCCCGACTGACCAGCTGACCTACAGCAGGGTACTTTTCTGAGCCCCAGTTTTCTGCATCTATAAAACAGTGGGTGTATTATGTGGCTCCCTGACATTTCAGTGTAAACATGGATCACAGGGCCCGCTGGCATGAAGTAGGAGCTCAGCTAACATCGTGCCTGCATGTGGGGGTCCCCAAGAAGGCTCATTCCTGGCGAGGTGGGAGCAGCATGCCAGCGGGGGAGGCGGTGCCCTTGGCCAGCCCGCGCTTCCCCGGCTGTGAGAGCGCAGCGAGGCGGGTACCTGGCAGGGTGGTGGTGGGAACCTGTGACTCCAAGTCGGCCTGCCGTGGGTAGCTAACGGGTTTTGCCCTTCTCACTGCTGTATGCTCGCTTAGAACATCGCCTGCCGCCTCGTAAGTGCAGTGTGTGCTTCTGCCGCGTGTTTACCCACTAGGTCACGGGACAGCCAGATGGAAGAGATGCCCGGGCAAGATCTGGGGAAAAGGCCCCTCCCCGTGGGGGTTAAAGGCAGCACTGTGCAGCTATCTGCAGCCACTGGCTGGGAGCTGACCCACATGGCGCGGCAGACCTCTCCTGACCCGCCCCCTGCTCCCCTCAGCAGTAGATTTCAGTGGAGCTGTCTATTCTGCTCCCCACTCTTGTCTCTGGTGCATCCTCAACCCCTCGCACCACTGGCCTGTACCCCAGTTCTTGTGTGCATATTTAAAAAAAAAAAAAGATCTGGGGAAAAGGCCTGGAGCTTTCCTGCCCTCTCCAGGGGTCCCACACTCCCCAAATCCAGATGTGCATGTTTCTGCTGCCGCTCAGTCCCTGCCCTGCTCCCCCATGAGGTGCAGCGGCTCCCAGAACCCCAAACAGATGAAGCCCAGTGTGGCAACCTCTGCCCGTTCTCCATCCAGCCCCTGGCCAGTCCAGCCAGCCCAGGCCCCATACGCATCGTCTGACTCACCCCAGTGTCTAGGCTGACTTTATCTGGTTCTTCAGACAGATTTGGGGCTGCAGAAAAAACCCTGGCTGGAAATGGGGCAACGCAGACTGGCAGGGTGCGAGAATTGGTACTGACATCAGAGCCTGGTCACCTGCCACCCCCCTGGCTCGCTGTCTGTGTGGCTAGGGAGCAGTCAGTCACTGCCCTCGCTGGCCCCAAGCCCCAGTCTCGTGGCCACAGGCCCTGCAGTGGTGGACGGGCCCCCGCGGGGGCGGAGGGTGCCCAGGCCGAGGCCGATGGGGGCCAGCCGCTGTGGGGCCATCCTCCAAGCAGGTGCAGGTGCCTCAACTCTCCTATCCTCAGCCCTGCCGGCAGAGTGCCTAACCCTCTGTGCGGAGAGCTACGGGCACTTCTGGAAGAAACACGCACCCCCCCCCAACAGAGCCTCGCAGTTTCAGGGGTTTACACATCCCTGGAGGCCCACTAGGTGAGCCCTTAGGCCTGAGAACGGTGAACCTTGCCTCACCTCTCTCCAGAGTGCTGGGCCTGGCCCTGGGCCCGGGGACACCCGCCCAATCTGAGCTTCACTCCTTCCCACCCTGCTAGTCCCCTGCAGAAGGTCCCTGCCCAGCTCATTCTGGGCCAGAGCACCTGGGGTCAGCTTCGGCCCCAGCAGCGCCCTGGAGGACAGGCCCAGGCAGGCTCACTTGGCGGAAGTGACATGGACAGGGAGCGCCCACAGCCCCTCCCCTCCCTGCCTCTCCCCCTCGCGCCTCGCCTCTCCGCTGCCCCCGGCACAGCATCATTCACCGAGGGGGGCTCCTGCCTCCTCTGCTCCCGGCTCTCAGGCGCTGGGCCACTGCCAGGCCCTTTCCAGGTGCGGGAGGCAGGCCTGGGCCCCAATCTCACATCCACAGAGACTCCTTTTTTCTTTAGGGTCTGGGGACCAGCTGGGTTCCATGGGTTCAATTCAGACCCAGTCAAGCCAGGACTTGGGAGAATAAGCCCCCTTAACGTTGAAAGGAGTCAGGATTCCAACTTGGTGGCAGGGAAAGTGGGGCAGCATTGAGCGGACTGGAACTGATGGCCAGAAAGAAGCGTCTACTCTGTGGACGAAGGCTGCCGGGGGCAGCCAGCGGGGCCTCGGCCGCCACCGGGCCTACAGGGGGATTGTGGCCCCCACTGCTGCCGCGACAAACGTGCAGACACGTAGCAGCTGAAAACAACACACGTTTATTCTCTTACAGTTCAGGTGGTCAGGATTCTAGAATTGGTCTCACTGGGCTAGAGCCAAGGTAATTAGAGTCAAGGTAACTAGCAGGACTACCTCCTTCTGGGAGTTCTGGGGAGACTCCATTGCCTGGCCTTCTGGGGAGACTCCATTGCCTGGCCTTTTCCAGCTTCTGGAGGCCACGTGCCTGCCTTGGCTTGCGACCTTTCCTGCAGCACGTGGTCAGCCCCCTCTGGTCTCCTGCTCTCCTCTCAGGAGGCCCCTGTGGCCTCAGGCCGCCTGGGTTACCAGGAGAGGCTCCTCCTCAGGCCGCCTGGTTACCAGGAGAGGCTCCTCCTCAGAAAGCCTTAATCTAATGGCCTCTGCAGAGCGCCTTTGGCCACACAGGCGACATCACAGGTTCGGGACACGGGACACGGACATCTTGAGGGCCACTCTCCAGCCTGTCACGACTAAGATGCGGAAGTGCTGGGCCTCCTGGCGCTCACAAGTTGGTGTGTCTGCCGGGCTCGGCAGAGTCCTTCCCAGCCTCGTGTTTCTGAGGCTCAGACCCGCGGCCGGCCCCTTCCACCCAGAGCACACCCAGTGTCTCCTTGCGAGTCCGTCCACAGTCTAGGTGTAAAGGCGGGCGAGGGGCAGCCCCCAGGCCAGGCCGCTCTCAGCCACACCCCGCTGCCTGCAACAAGCCAGGAAGGGACACCGAGCAGGGTCTGGGCCGACTGCGGACGCCAAAGAGCAGACAGGACAAGCGAGGCCCGCTGAGCGGCGGCCAGAGCCAAGGTGCAGGGCCGCGGGAGCAGAGGAGAGCTGGGGCTGTGGCCCGGCCCCTGAGCGGACAGATGCCGGGGCTGGGGCAGCTCTGAGGTCAGCGAGAGGTCTCTGCCCTTGGCATCTAGGGCCGAGGGCCTCACCAGGCAAGGGGCTCCATGCCCCAGGCGGCGGGCTTTTTCATTGTAATAAGAGCACCAGGGCAGGGGAGGGCAGCGGCCGGGCAGAGGGCAGGGAGCTGCTCTTGCTACCTCTTCTCCATGTCCTGCATCTGCAAGCTGAGGGAGGTAAAGCTGGCCAGGAGGTCGGTGACCTCATCCACCTGCGGGATAAACCCAACACCTGGTCACCGGGGCCGCGGGTCTCCCGGATGCTGGGCCGTGGGCTTCGCTCCGACCGGCCCAGGGCTCACCCTGACACACGAGGCCCAGACGCCACAGAGGGAAGACACTGGGGAGCTTCAGTGGACGTGGACAGGGGCGCGAGCTCCACAGCGGCCGCGACTCCTCAGCCACGCCTCCGTCCTCTCAGGTCTGGCCACCTCAGAGCGGGGCAGGCGGCTGCGGCCCCACCAGCCCCGGGGCCAAGCTGCAGCCCTGCTCACCTGCTCCCTGGTGCTCGTCATCTGGAGGCGGGTGCAGAGGTCGTCCAGCCGCTCCCGCTGCTCGTGCCGCCCCAGGCGCTCCAGGTACTCCCTCAGCATCTGGATGATCTGAGAGGAAAGGGTAGGCCGTGCTGCAGGCTCTCGCCAGGAGGAAGGGGCACCGGGCAGCGCCCAGCGGGCACAGAGCAAGGGGCAGGCTGGAGGCAGCGAACAGCCACGGCCAAGGCGGCGCACTCACCTGCTTCACCTCCAGCCGCACGGCCTGCAGGCACTGGGAGTGGCCTTCCTGCAGGATGTTCAGCTTCGACTTGGCCAGGTGCAGGGGCGTGCGGCCAGCTCGGTCCAGCGCGTCTACACGGGCCCCTGTGGGGCAGCCAGGTGAGTGCTGGGGTGTGGGGAGCGGGGGAGCGGGGCAGGTGGGGAGGCGAGCACGTACCTCCCCGGAGCAGTGTGGTGATGACAGGCACGTGGTTGGTGCAGGCCGCTGAGGAAGGAGAACAGGTTGCTGAGAGTCCAGGACCGCAGTGGCGTGGCCCTGGTGCCCGCGTCTGCGAGGCCTCCCGAGGGGCATCCCGAGGCAGCCACTGTGCAGGGCTCGGCCGTCAATTCTAACTCCCTGCGGGGACGGCTAGGGAAACCGAGGCCGGGAGGCGGGGCCTGCACCCCGCAGGGGAGGCTCCGGGGGGCCCTTCCACGCTTCAGCAGGGGTCTCGGTGGCGCCAGGCACTCACCCAGGTGCAGGGGGGTGTTTCCCAGCCCGTCCCGCTGGTTGGGGTCGGCCCCATGGTCCAGGAGCAGCTGCACTGCAAACCCGAAAACCCAGAGATGCGGTCAGAGGCTTCGGGGGACCCAGCCTAGCCCCCGCCCCCACCTCACCAGGGGGCACATCCAAAGCCCGGGACACAGAAAGCAAACACGGTTCTCAAGCACTTGTGCGCCCCACGGCTGCGGAGGGTCAGGCTGGGAGGCGTGGAGGGGCTCGGCCTGGACTGCCGGCGCTGCCCCCGGGGTAAGGACCGCCCTCCGGGCAGCAGGGGCTGCGGGGGGGCTCCCGGGGACGGCTGCCGCCACGGGGAACCAGGAAGGGTCCTGAGCGTCTGCGCCCCTCAGGGCGAGCTGTGCTGGGGCCTCAGTTACCCAGGCTGATTCGACGCCCAAACCACGTACAGGGAGTCAGGCCGAGCCCACGCCACATGCAGAAGCTAATTCAAGAGAGAGAGATGGCAGGCCTGGCCGTGAAGCCAAAACAGCCAGGTTTACGGGCTTTATGACCCTGGAGGGGGCAATGATTTCTCTAGATTACAAAAATACTAATCATAGAAGAGACTAGCAAACTTAAGTTTATTAAGATTAAGGACCTGTAGGCCCTCCCTGGCGGCTCAACGGGCCAGGACGCAGCACTGCAAGCCGGCCGCAGCCACTTTAGTGCAAATTCCACCCCCCGCCGCAGAGGTGACCCACAGGGCGCGGCAGACCTCTCCTGTCTCCCCACGGCTCCCCTCAGCAGTGTCCTTCGGCGCTCTGCCTGTTCTGCGCCCCACTCTGTCTCTGGTGAAGCCTCTCACTGCCCCTGTGCCTCTGGCCTGTACCCCAGTTCTGTGTGCATAAATAAATCTTAAAAAAAAAAAGAAGACTAAGAACCTGTGTTCACCAAAAGATACCATTTGGGGAACAAAAAGTCAAGCTCAGAACAGGCAAGCCGCAAGCCACACGCATACACGGTGGCCTATGTTGGACACGTTTCCACTGTAAATTGAACGGCACAAGCATACACCAGAAAATTTCACGATAAAGTTCCATTTGCAAAATTTCCTGCCCATAAAACTCTCTAAGACATGGGGGTCCAGGGGGAGGGGGACTGGCAGATAGGTGAACTGGGGAATATCACAATGAAACGCCACCGGGAACTGCAGGAGCAAAGCACGGACGCGGGGCTGGCTCAGGGCAGAGCCCTGGGGGCGAGAGGAGCGTGCGCGCCCGGCGTGTGCTGGGATTCACCAGCGCCCAAGCCAACCCATGGAGCAGGGGACGAGAAAGAGGAGGCCAGGCGGCTGCTGGGCGCTGGAATATTCTGGACCCTGGTCTCGCAGCGGCCACACCGGCGTCCGCACAGACGGCCTGTCGCGTTAGCTCCCCACCGCAGAGCCCTTCAGGAAGAGAACACGGCTCCTGCTGTCGGGGCTGGCGCCACGGAGCGGGACCCGAGCTCCCTGAAGGACCAGCCCTGAGCACACAATCGGCCTGACTCTCTCCCCAGCTGGACCCCTCTTGCCAGCCTGGCAATGCCAGACCCAAAGATTAAGGGCGAAGCACCGCCTGGCGGGCTTGTCCGATGCCCGCACCCGGCTACCCCCAGCGCCCGCCCGAGAGCCCCCTCCGCCCTCCGCCCCGACTCACCGATCTGGCCGTTGCCGTTGCAGGAGGCGAAGTGGAGGGCCGTGCGGCCCTTGTCGTCCGCCGCGCAGGGGTCAGCGCCGTCTTCCAGCAGCTGCTGCACTGGCACCACCGAGACAGAGGGCGGGGGAGCGGCAGCGTGAGCGCGCTGTCCTGGGGCGGGGTGAGGGGGTGCTGGGGGCTCCCCGGCAAGCGTCAGTGATGCAGAGACTGAGCTCCTCCCGGGTGCCGGCACGGGGGCCACCCGCGGGCACAGCTGAGGGGCATGGACTCGGGGGGCTCAAACTGGGTGTCCAGGGCGAGAATGCCACAGAAGGTTCTTAGCCCTCCGGGTCGGGAATTCGAGAGTCAGCGCCCACCCTCCCACTACTGAGAGCGGACACACTTCACTCCAGACGGACACGAGTGCCCAGCCATCAGGCTCCCCTGACTGTGCTCCCGGGGCAGCCCCTCCAAGTGGGCAGAGCGACACGGACCAAGTCCCAGGCTGAGCTCAGCAACCAAGAGAAGCTGGCACCGCCGGTGGCCCGGTGCAGTGGGGAGAGCTGGGCTGGGCGCACGGATGCAGGCCCAGCTCACCAGCAGATGGGCAGTCCCTGCCCTGCCAGTCTCCTGAGCGCTCTGACACGCATGTGGGCGGGGGCTGCTTCTCGCAAAGGCGGGCCTCCGAGCGGGAAGCGCTGTGGACGGCAGGCGCCAGTCCGCCCAGGACGCGGAAGCGGCTGCCAAACGTCGCTCGGGGCCAGGCCCTCTGAGTCGCGCCACTGCAGGGCTCCAGCCCCCAGACTCTCCCAGCCCCCACCTCAGCTCGCCGCGTGTCCCGTCTGCCTGCCGCTCCGACGCGAACACTCCACGCTACTTCCACAGAACTGCTACTGCGCAGAGCACCGCCAGTGCAGGGGCGGACCGCCGCCATGGCCCCCGCCGCCCTGGCCCCCGCCGCCCCCGCTTCCTGACCATCCCGCAGACCAGAGAGCGCGTACGGAGTGCCTGAGATCTGCTCGCCCAGCTACTGGGAAGCAGAGTGAGAGGGCCGCCCAGTCCTCCTGGCTCCAGAACTTACACCTCTCCCACCCAACACGTGACTTCAGCTTTTCAAGAGGGATGGTTCTGGAAACGCTATTTGTTCTTAGTCCTCTGCCTTGGCGGGGTTTGGCTTCCCCTTGGTAACCGTGGTGTCAGCAGAGTGTCCCGCACGCGGGTCCTCTCAGGGCTCAAGGGCAGTCACGAGGGGCTAAAGCCGAAAGTGCGGCCCGTCCTCTCGGACATCACTTTAGCACATCTATCAGGAGCCATCACAATCCACCTGCCCTTTGGTGTAACAATGCCACGTGTAGGAAATTATTTGGAAAATGGAAAACTAATGTCCAAATCCATGACGGCCTATAACAGGCTCGCTCTGTCCCCTCTAATGGACACACTGAGTACCTCCGTTAAATGGCGGTCAAATTGGGGAACGGACGTAGAAAGTGGAAAGTGATTTTTGCTTTTTACTCTATAAGCTTTTAAACAATCATACAGTGGTGAATTCATTCTATCAATGGGGGAAATGATGTCTCCATTTTGAAACGAACAAATGGTTACAAAGATTACGAAAAACGTCTGATAAATAAAAAAAACGCAGATTGGACGCATAAAGAAAGCCCATAAGGAAAAGTTCTGTGTCTGGGGAAAAGGACTGGAGTAAAAACAGAGAGTAGTTCCTTGTCGTCATGAAAACCGTCTTCCCTTCGTGTTTCTCTAATCCCTAAAATGTTACAGGGATTATAATGTAAAAGATCTTTTTTTTTTTTAAGAGCTTTATGTATGTATGTATACAGGACGGGGGTACAGGCCAGAGGTGCGGGGGGTGAGAGGATGCACCAGAGATGGGGGGAGCAGAACAGGCAGATGGATGAAGCACACTGCCGAGGGGGGTCTGCGACTCCATGTGGATCACCCCAGGGCCGGGGGTCAAGCTCAGGCTGCAGTGGCTGGAGACAGCCTCGGAATGCTGTGCTTTAACGGGCTGGGGCCCTAAACATCTTAAATGATTGTGAATTCATGGAAAAACCACTTCACAAGGCAGGGTATAAATTTTTCGTTCACTTCATCTGCTAAATTTTACAAAACCCAAAACACATGCAGAGAAAGAAAACAAGGTGCCTGTCAGGAAAGAAGGGGAGCGAGGAAGTCAGCCAGAGGCGGTCTCCCCAGGCCTGCAGGGGCCGCTTGGCCGCGGAGAGGGTGTCAGAGGCTAGACCAGCTCTAGGAAAATGACAGCAACGCCACCCGAAAACGGAAGCATGCCTGAGCACCTCATCCAAGGTGAGCCTGACCTTCTGTGGAAGGGGAGCGTACTTTAGTGTCTCCAGGCCCACACACGGGATGTTAACGAAAAAGCGGATTCTTTTTCCTAGAAAAGCAATCGCGGTTGCTGCCCACGTATTCAAGAGACTGAAGCTCATGGAACGAGATCAAAGTGCAGAGGACTGAAAAGCACCCCCCCGCCCAGTCTCCAGGCCGCCCTCCAGGCCGCTCACCTCGCCCCATGGAACGGGACATCAGTTCAAGGCGCGTGCTCGCCGCGCTCTCCCACGGGCGCCTACGATCACGCCGGCACCACACCCACCATGCAAACAGGTGTCCACCTGAGACTGGCACAGCAGGCCCGCGTCTACACCCCGTGGCCTGGGACTGATGTAACTCACACGGCGACAGTGCAGACGCGGGGAAGGGAGAGGGGAGATTACCCTGTGGGGCGGACGCGGCGTACTCCATCAGAGAGCCCGAGTCCCTGCTGCTAGCACCACTGGGTGGGCGCACGGACTCTGAGGACAGCTGACTCAGGGGACAGGGACCAGAACTACAAGCCGAGGAATGCTTGCGGCCGCCAGAAGCTGGGAAAGGCAGAGGGCAGCCTCCAGAGGGGCTGGCCGGGGAAGGAGGGCAGCCTGGTCACACCCCGATTGTAGTCTGCTGAGAGCTGCGTGACTTCGGGCCCGAAACAGGGGACTGTGTGTGCTGTTTCCACACTGGGTTTGTGGTCATTTGCAACGGCCATAGAAAACCAAAACGCCATTGCTATCTGCATCACAGGAAGAATTAAGCCACAGATAAAATGTTTTTTCTTATGACTTGTTGTTCCTGCCAGCCAGCGAATGCTGGAACACGAAAGCAAAAACCAGAGGAGCGCACTCCAGGGCGCACCCAGCTCTTCAGGCGGGGTCTCCACTAAACAAGCTTCAGAAGCACCAGCCAATGTCCACAAGCCTCAGCAAGCGGCTGGAGCGGATGTCTGTGCAAATGGTGGCTCTTCCGGCAGTGAAAGCTGAGTGTTCGCCCCACTGATCAAAGTTCCAGAAAGCTCCTACTCTGCTGAGCTAGGCTGGGTCCCAGGAATATGAAAGCAGGGTGCCCGCAGGGTGCCTAAGAGCTCAGGAAGTTGGGGGTGGCAGGGAGCAGTGGTGCAGGTGAGCTGCTCGGCCAGATGCGCCCTCCTGCCGCCCCGGCTCAGTGCACACAGCCAGCGGGCCCAGGGGTGCCTGCAGCCTGGGCGCAAGCACCTCCCAGGTGCGCTCTGCACACTCACCTGTTTCCACGTCATTGGCGTTGGCCGAGTCCCTCAGCCTCTTCAGAGCTGTGAGGGGAGAGAGGACCAGTTCAAACCCAAACCGAAAACCCCCGAACAACAGACAAGACGAAGGGGAGAGCAGACTGCCTCACGTTACCCGCCCCTCAGCCACGGGAGCTGCTCCTGGGAGCTGCCAGGCCACGGGACACCGCCCTGGGGACGGGGCGGACCCCGAACTGCAGTGCAGCCCCAACTCCCTGAGTCCAGACCTTGACTCTGCCACTCGCTGGGTGGCCTGCGCATGTTGGCTGGCCTGCCTGGTCTTCGGCCTGACCTCTGAAAGAGACAACACTGTCCTGACCGTTCCGAGTTGGGGCAGAGACAGCAAGATAATTTACACGGACACTTTCTGTGTTGGTTACACAGACAAGCTAACATTCTCCTGCAAAACAGGCCACTCTCCAAAGGATACTTAAATCTGGCGATTCCCAAGCAGAACCTTTGTTCTCCCATAATGACACCACCTCTCTCAAGGGCCGGTAGAAAGCAAGGCCTTCCTTATCAGGGAAATGGGCAAAAACGTAACTCCTTACACTTACGCGGCACTTTATGCTTCATGCAGCATTTTCAAAGATTCTAGAAAGGACCTTTAGAGGTCCACTTGCAGGGATTTGGTGGCTGAACCCTCCATAAATCGCCAGACACGTTGGCAGACATAGCAGCAGGTGCCTGGCAGACCCGGGTTCTAGGACCCGCACTGCACTCACGTGCAGCAAGGCCACCTCTCTGGGCCTCAGTGCCCTCGTCAGTGAAATGGGTCTCAGTGCGGTGTAGGGGGTCACACACCACCCAACAACGGCCAGATACTCTCTATTCACCGTTACCGCAATTCCCCCGACACCCCTGTAAAGCCATGGCCGCACCCACTTTACAGATGAGAAAACTGAGGCTGAGTGGTTCAATGGCTTCCCGGAGGCCTAAAGGCGTCCAGGAGGCCGGCGCGGGCGGCGCTTGGGCAGGTGGGCAGGGCCGGCTCCGGCTCTGGCTCCTCTCTCTGACCAGGGCGGACCGTCCACTCCCACTGGTAAACGCCTGCAGTCATGAGGTTTCCACCGGGAATGACCGAGTGTGACGAGCCCTGGGGACCGGCTCTGAGCAGGAAGAACTTTTCCTTCCTTTTCCAATTTCACGGGCCCTGACAGCAGCCGCAGAACACTTAGCAAGCACCAACGGCCCGACGACGTCTCACAAGCCACAGACCGACATTATGCTCAGTGACCGGCACTGCGGCCCCCAGCGCGCCCGGTCCGGAGCGGCTGGCGGGGTCGGGGCTCCTCACCGTGCACCTCCTTGCCGGTGGGCCCGAGCCGGCGGTGGAGCCTGGCGGCGCGCCTCAGCCGGCCGGCGGGCATCTTACAGCGCAGCTGGTCGCGGGGCTCCTCGTCCTGCTGCCACAGGACATGGAGGTAACGCAGCGGGGACTGGGCCCCGCCGGACGCCCGGCCCTGGGGGCCCGCGCCGCCGCCCAGCGCGGATCCGAAGTCGGCGAAGGAGAAGAGGCCCTCGGGGCCTGTCAGCGGCTCCGGCGCCACGGCGCACTCGCCCTCGGAGCTCGAACGGCCCGAGCGCGACTCGTCGTCCGCGCCCCCGGCGGCGGCTGCCATGGCAACGGCTCGGCGCGGGCCTGGCCGCCCAAGCCTCGTTCCCGACAGACCAACGGACCCGCTTCCCTCTTCCCTACGCCTCGCTGTCAGCGGGCGAGCGGGCGGGCCGGACCGGGCCGGCTACCAAGGCAACGAGCGGGGGCGGGCTCAGGCCGCGAACTGGAACTCTCCCGACCAACGAAAACCCTCTCTGTTGAAAGCGGGCAGAACGAGGGCCTTAGAATGGACTTCCGGTGGTGTGACTGACGGACAGAAGAGCCAATCATAAATGGGACTGGCCCACGGACGTGTCACGTGCCCTGGCCCGAGCCAATAAAAAAGCTGAGTTTAGGACAATTTTTTCCATTTACCCCGTGGGATCATGGGAAAGGTAACGGACAGACGCTTTAGCCAATTAAGTGAAGATGTGCTGCAGCCAATCACAAAGGAAGATGAAGCCAAACTCCAGGAATGAGACTTGGGTATTTTAAATCAATGAACGTAAAATAAACAACCCCGGCAAACAAAACTTCCTACCAATAAGGAGTGTAAGTAGGAAAATGAGGATATGTTCAAATCTGGGGCTGTCTTCCAAACTGTAATAGCTTCTGAAACTGATAGATTAAAAAAAAAGTGATAGAGATGGGAAACCCGCGGGGATTACAATTGAGATGGAAAAAAAAATGTACAAAATGATGTAAAAATTAACTGTTATAAAAAAAAAGTGATCCTATGAGTCCCCCGACGTTGATCATTGATTTACAAAAAAAATAATTCAATTTTTAAAAATTACAACCGAGAGTTAGTCACTGAATCGGCCCCTCCCATGTGCCAGTTGCTGGATGCAGTATGAGACTCAGTGGGATGGGAGGCCAGAGCCAGAAACAGGGAGTATTCTGCAAAAGCAGTTGGCCCCGGAGGGGGGCACAGTCCTGTAAGGACTTTCACAACCCTGTACTCCACAAACACTTCTATAAGTGGGCGAAGAGGGTCTTCCCCGTCTTGTAGGTGAGGGGCTGAAACCACAGCGATAAGGGTAGTGTTCACTGTAGCCCAGCTCTCTGGGGATGAGGGCTCAAGTCCAGGCAAAGTTCTCTGCAGCCAACACAATTAAAACGTAAATTTTAGCTGCCCGTTGAAAAATATTTTCAGATTTTGCTGTGTTCTCAGAACACCTCTGTGAAGCTTTTCCTTGTACTGTATGGAGAAAAGAATGCTGTTTATTTGAATTTTTCTCCTCTACCCCTAAACCCACAAGGACGTATACCTACTCCATTTGTAGCAAGAAGGAAACAGGAAAGAAATAAGCACTGGCTGTAGAGCATTTACCAACTGCTTGCTATACATTAAACCATTTAGTTCTCACTCACAAAAGCCTTAAACAGGCACACTGCAAGTTAATAATGACATGTATGGGTTGTCCAAAGATACAGGACTAGAAAGTTGAAGAACTGGAGTTTGAACCCAGGAAAGCCCTTCCTTTCCATCACACTGCCTCCTTCGATGAAGATTCTGCTGGAAAACTGGCTCCAGAAAGTGTAAGTGACATTTGGGGATTACTATTACTTATGTATTGCAGTTTTATGATTTTATTAACATAATACAAGAGCTAACTAATAGTTCTTTTCTCCAGTCACCCTGGCTTGGGAGTGTGACCCCAGTGGCCGGCTGTGTTCCTCTTTTCACATAGTTTTACAGTTCTTGGAGAGGTTGTGAGCAATCTCTGCACAGCAAGATTTGTGGCCATCAGCAGCACTTTGTGCTCCTTGACCTTGTACACTGAAAGTTCTGGAAGCCCCTGGGAAGCATGTGCTTTGCTTGCTTGTTCCCATAACCAATGTTGAGCAGCAAGATCTGGCACTTGAAGCTTCTGCATGTCCTGTGATCTATGCCTCTGGGTTTCCACCAGTTGTACTTAATTCTGACATATATGGTGCTGGATGAACTTCTTTGTCCTCTTTTTGATGATCTTGGGCTTCCTGGGGAGGGTCTGAGGGCAGCATGATACCAAACGGTCACTGGCTGTCACCTCCGTAGGCAGTGCTGAGGAAGAAAGCCATCTGGGATTTATACCGCATTCCTGCTAAATGTATCCTGAAAACATCAGTATTCTTTTAGGTCAGATATTTACACTGGTTTAGGCCAAGTTTAGCAGATTGACTTTCCTTCCTCCCCCATTTCCCCATCCCGCATCCTTAAGACATTTTGAATTGGTTGCCTACATTCAAAAATGTAGAGTTTTTGGGCCCTCCCTGGTGGCGCAGTGGGATAAAGCACAACACCATGAAGCTATCTGCAGCCACTGCAGCACAAGTTTGATTCCTGGCTAGGGAGCTGAACCACATGGCATTGCAGATTTCTCCTGACCCGCCCGCTGCTCCCCTTTGCAGTGTACTTCGTCAGTCTGCCTATTCAGCTTCCCCTTCTATCTGGTGAATCCTCTTCCCCACCTCAAACCTCTGGCCTATACCACAGTTCTTGTACACATAAATAAATAAATCTTTAAAAAAAAATTTAGAGCTTTCACGTAAAATTTCTGATTCTCTTTAAAATAAGAATTTATGGGGGGCCCTCCCTGGTGGCATGAGTTGGAGTGCAGCACTAGGAAGCTAGCCACAGCTGCTTCAGCTAAGTTTGATCCCTGGCGAGGGGGGTGACCCACAGGGTGCAGCAGATCTTTCCTGTTTTGCTGGTTGCTCCCCTCAACAGTGTACTTCATGAATCTGCCTGTTCTGTACTGTTTCTGGTGAATCCTCTCACTGCCCCTGCATCTCTGGCCTGTATGCATAAATAAATATTAAGAAAAAAAGAATTTATGGGGCCTTCCTGGCGGCACAGGAGGTTAAGTCATAGCACTATGAAGTTATTAGCAGCCATTGCAGCAGGAGTTCAATTCCAGGCCAGGGAGATGACCCATATGGCACAGCAGACTTTGTCCTGACCCTCTCTCTGCCCCCCTCAGCAATGTATTTCTGTCAACCTGCCTGTTTTGCTCCCCACTCTGTCTCTGGTGATTGCACACAGGAGACGGGGTATATGCCAGAGGTGCAGGGGTGGGGGTGGGAATGGTGAGAGGATTCACCAGAAACAGAGTGGGGAACAGAACAGGCTGAGGTAATGAAATATACTACTAAAGGAAGCAGTGGGTGAGACAGCTGAGGTCTGCTGCGCCATGTGGGTCACCTCCCTGGCTTGTGCAGTGGCTGTGGATAGCTTCGCAGTGCTGAGAGTTACCGCTTGTGCCACTAAGGAGGCCTGACAATTATACTGTTAACAATTTGAGAATTTTTCTTTTATATTAGAGAGAGAGGCCCCAGTGTTTTCAGAGAAGTGGGTGTTTATTTGTGAACAAGAAGAATCTTCAGTGTCCCTGATATCTCATAACTCGTGGCCTGTGTGTTTATTTGTGAGCAAGAAGAGTCTTCAGTGTCCCTGATGCCTCATAACTCGTGACCTGTGGCTTTCTTTATTTCTTCTATCTGGACTTCTGTAACAGACCCCTGATCTATATCTGGTTCTGATTTGTAACACTGAGATACTGCTCTCCTGGGGCCCACATAAACTGCACTAAAGTGGGTGGGCAGGGGCCTGAGATTGTGTTCAAGGGAGTGAAGCAAACAGAACAGTGAGTGAACTACAAATCAACTTGGCGTTCTGGGAAGTGGGGCTTGAAATGAACTCAGCTGAAGCATCCAGGCAGATGGCAAAATGTAACTAATGACTTTACTGAGTCAGGGAATTTCCAGCCTCAAATCTTTGGCAAAAAAAGATCAAGAGAAATAGGGCAGCTTTTCAGCAGCTAAATCCTCTTAGCAACTCTCCCAGGTAAAATTGTTCCAGGAGCTTGCTTTCCTCTGCGCTGTTCCTTTCCCTTTCATCTATTGCTTTTCCATTAACCAGGGAGCCTTGAGACCTTTCAGAGTCTGTAAGTCTTACTTCTAGGCAGACTTATTATGCTGCCGAACTCCTGTTTCCAGTCAAATGCAATTCCAGATAGAAAACGGCAGCAGAAAGGGGAAGAAACTCTATCAGCACCTTCAATGAGATGATGGTAACTTGGACAAGAATGGCAGAAACAACATACTGGTGAGAATTGAGTCTGGAAGTCTTTTGAAAGTGCATACAAGACATAGCTACACTGAGTAGATGGTATGAGAAATCATGTCCAGGGTGGTCCTGAGGCTTTGACCTGAACAAATAAAAGAATGAAGTTGCCTGGAACTAAGGTGGGGGAAGCTGTGGGAGCAACTATGTTGGCACAGAAAATCAGTTCAGCTTGGACGAGTTCAGTTGGTGCTCCCTTCAGGGATGAAGATATAAATGTGGGGAGTCCGTGGCAAAAGGGTAAGTTGCCCAGGGAGTGAAGGCAGAGGAGAGCCTCTACAATTAGGCCCAGAGAGGAGGGGCAGTCCACTAGTTCACAGTGAGGGAGAAAGGGAGGGCTCGACAGGAAGGTGGAAAGACATGGCCTGTGGGGAAGGTCCTCTCAGTCTTCTTTATAATCTGACTGGAGTGTAATTTCTGGAAAAGGCAGAAAATTCTCAATAGATCAACAAAATATATCGGATGGCTATACACAAAAGATTGAAGTTTCTGGTGACTGAAGCTTACATGAATAATAAAGACTAGAATATTCCCCCCAAAAGTTATGCAGGAAGTAGGATGTTTGGAACATGAAATCACCATACAAGTGGTGAACAGGTGGAGCCTAGACACATACTCCAGGGTCACAGCAAACGTGCGGTTGGGCAACGATCACAGCTTCCTGCTGGATTGTTTTCAAGCCCCAAGGCTTACTCGGGGCCGACCCTGGACTCTACCGGGCCCGCAGGGCGATTTGGGCCACTGCCCTCAGCCTGCCCCAGACTTCCCCGCAGGGCCTCAGTCCACCATGACCTCCTGTTTGCTTGCCCTCTGGAGCGGGCCTCAACTCCGACACCCAGCAGAAGCCTGGAGGCGCCCCTCGCTGCAGACTGACTAGGCGCTGTTTCCACCCCAGCGGACCCCACCGGGCCTCCTTCAGGGGCGAAGTCGGCCCTAGCGAGCTGTCGGCTACTTTCCACATGGCGCGACTTTGGTTTCTCTTTGTCCATCTCATTGATGCAGAGCCACTTTATTCCTTATTTGTGAAT